AGGATAAAGCTATCTACCACAAGAAATCTACAAGCATCATTACAGAAAACAAAATAAAATAGAAAATGACAAGATTCAGAAGCAAAATGCAACCTCAGACCCCCAGCCCAGCCAGGACAAGTCCAGAGCACAGTGGGATAGAGGAAATTGAAAAGCAGCCACTGGAAATTTCTGAAAGGGTAGCAACAGAAGTGAAAATACAAATGAAAGAGGCTACAGAAAAAATAATCTCTAAGGTGCAAAAAGAAATGAAAGCCATTAAAGCAGGCACAGATTTAAAAAAAAAAGGAGGAGCTCAGAAAAATGATGGAAACCATGAATGCCCAACATAGGAAAGAAATGCAGTACATGAACCAGATTCAAACAGAAATCCAGGAGATTAAAAACTCCACTGAAAGTGTACACAACACATTGAATGAAGGTGAGGATAGAATATCAGATCTAGAAGACAGAATTGTGGTTAGGGACCATGAAAAGAAAGATATCTTAAAAATAACAAGAGATCATAAAAAATCAATCCAACAGCTACAAGATGAAGCAAAGAACAATAACAGGAGATTGACTGGACTCAGTAAGAAAGCTGGCAACTGTGTAAATGCCATAAAAAACACTCCTCATAGAAATAATGGCAGAAAACTTCTCCAACATGGGTACAATGGAGAAATAAGATACTTCCATGATAAAGAATAACTGAAGAAATTCATGGCCACTACACCAGCTCTTCAGAATGCTCTGAAGGATATATTAAAAAGATAAAATGAAGACCACAAACACAATACAAAGAAGCCACCACACAAGGCAACTCATTAAACAAAAGGGAAAGCAGGGAACCAACAACAGCAAAATAATAAGAAAAAAGTAAGCAATATATATGTTATAATCATCAATGTAAATGATCTCAAATCACCAATCAAAAGAAACAGCCTGACAGGATGGATTAAAAAGCAAGATTCGGCAATGTGCAGTGTTCAAGAAACACATTTAACTCAAAAAGAAACAGACTAAAAGTTAAAGGATGAAAAACAATACTCCATGCCACAGGAACCCCCCCAAAAAAGTAGGGGTAGCTATTCTATTTGCAGACAACTTGAACTTCAAGCCAAAACTGATCAAAGGAGACAAAGAAGGTCATTACATACTTGTTAAGGGAAAACTTCAAGAAGAAAACATAACCATAAATATATATTAACCAAATACTGGTGCACACAACTACATAAAAGAAATATTAACAAATGTGGAAAATCAAATACACACTAACACAACTGCAGTGGAGGACCTTAATACCCCACTCTCACAATGAGATAGATCAACTAGACACAAAATCAACAAAGAAATATCAGAATTACACCAAATATGTAAATAGACTTAGTTGATGTCTACAGAGTATTCGAGCCCACAACATCAGAATACACATTCTTCTTAGCCCCTCACAAGATGTTATGCAAAACAGAACACATATTAACCCATAAAATGTGCCTAAGTAAATGCAGAGAAATTGAAATCATCCCATCATATTATCTGACCATAGTGCATTGAAATTGAAATGAACTACCAAAGAATCCACAAAAGCGACATAAACATATGGAAAGTAACACCCTCTTGAACAACCAATGGGTCATAGAGGAAATTAAAGAAATTGAACAGTATCTACAATTAAATGATAATGCTGATACAACATACAGCAACTTATGGGATGCAATGAAAGCAGTCCTATGAGGGAAATTTATAGTGATGAATTTTCATATCAGGAAAACAGAATGAGCTCAAATAAACAGCCTGATGTTGAACTTCAAACTTCTATCTTTTTTGTTGGGGGGGGGGTACCACTAATCAAACTCATGACCTCAGCCTTGCCAGGCAAGCTCTTATCCCACTGTGCTATGTCCCCAGCCCTACCTCAAACTTCTAGAAAAATAAAAACAAAACAAACCCAACGCTCATATGAGGGAGAAAAATTATAAATATAACAGCAGAAATTAATGCAATTGAGACTAAGAAAACAATACAAAAGTCAATGAACTGAAGAGTTGATTCTTTGAAAGATTAAATACAACTTATGAACTCTTAGCCACCTTTATCAAAATTAAAGGAAAAACAAGGTTTAAATTCAAGCAATTAGAAAAAAAAGGCTGCGAAGTCACAACAGATCCTGTGGAAATCCAGAAGATCATCAACACCTATTTCAAGAACCTATACCCTAATAATATGGAAAACACAGAAGAAATGGACAGATTCCTAGACACATATGAATTACCAAAACTGAATCAAGAAGATATAAAAATTCTAGATAACCCAATATTAAAGAAATTGAATTTGTAATTAAAAACTGACCAACAAAGAAAAGTCTGGGTCCTGATGGATTTACTGTTGAATTTTACAAGAAATTTAGAGAAGACCTAACATCACCACTTCTGAAACTCTTTAATGAAATTGAAAGGGAAGCAATACTTCCAAAACCATTCCTGGAAGGAAATATTGCTATGATAACAAAACCAGAGAAGGACCCAACCAAAAAAGAAAAGTAAAGGCTAATCTTCCTAATGAACACAGATGCAAAAATCATCAACAAGATACTGGCGAACAAAATGCAGCAAATCATCAAGAAGATTATACCACATGACCAAGTAAGATTCATGCCAGGGATGCAGGGATGGTTCAACATACACAAATCAATAAATGTAATACATTATATTAATAGAGCCAAAGACACAAATTACATGATCATCTCAATAGATGCAGAAATAGCATCTGACAGAGTCCAACATCCATTAATCATTTTTTAAAAACCTACACAATATTGAAATAGATAAAAGTCATCTATGATAATCCAATAGCTAACAATATACTAAATGGTCAAATAACTGAAAGCTTTCATTCTAAAATCAGGAACAAGACAAGGATGTTCACTGTCACCACTCTTATGAATATAGGCCTGGAAACTTTAGTCATAGCAATTAGACAAGAGAGAGAAATAAAAGGAATAAGAATAAGAATGGGAGAAGTTAAATTATCATTATTTTCAGAAGACATGATACTTCATATAGAAGATCCAAAAAATCCACCAAAGACTTGTAGATTTAATAAACAAATTCAGTAGCATAGTGGGATACAAAGTCAACACTCAAAAATCAGTAGCATTCCTGTACACAAACAATAAACTCACTGAGAGAGAAATTAGAGAAACCATACCCTTCAAAATAGCATCAAAAAGTGAAATACTTATGAATCAATCTAACAAAAGAAATAAAACATCTATATATTGAAAATTACAATTTCAAGAAGAAGATTAAAAAGGATATCAGAAAATGGAAAGATATCCTTTTCTCATGGGTAGGAGAACCAACATAGAGAAAATAACCATACTCCCAAAATTATTACACAAATTTATTACAGTTTCAAACAAAATACCATTATCATACCTCACAGAACTAGAGAAAATATTCCTAAAATATATTTGGGACCAGAAGAGACCTAGAATAGAAAAAGTAACTCTTGGCAAGAAAGGCAGGTCAAAGGGCATCACAATCCCTGACTTGAAATTACACTACAAAGCTACTGTGATAAAATCAGTGTGGTAATGGAAAAAAAAAAAAAAACAGAACTGGGAATCAGTGAAACAGATTTCAAGATGCAGAAACAACTTTAAACACACTCACCCACTCTACCTTTACAAAGTGAACAAACATGTTCACTGGAAGAAAGCCTTTTTAATAAATGATGCTGGAAAAACTGGCTTTCCACATGCCAAAAACTAAAACTAGACCCATGTCTATCATGATACACTAAACTAAAATGAAAATGGATCAAAGCTCTAAATATTAAACAGAAAAAATAAATATGCTAGGAGAGAAAATACATAGAAATCTTGAAGATATAGGTGTAGGCACCAACTCCGTGAAGTCTGATAGAATAGGAAAACCCAGATCACATGGGAAATAATGCAAAAAATCAACAACTGGGACCTTATCTTATTAAAAAGCATTTACACAACAAAAGACATCACCAAGAGAGTGAACAGACAACCCATGAAGAGGGAAACAATTTTAACCAGTGTCCCTCAGAATAGAATAAGAATAGAATATATAAAGAATTGAACAAAATCAGACACCTCCAAATTCAAAGACCCAATCCAGAAATGAACATCTGAGATGAATACACACTTCTCAGATGAAGAAATACAAATGGCAAATAAATATATGAAAAAATGTTCACCATCACTGGTCATCTGAGAAATGCAATTAAAACAACACTGAGATTCCATCTTACCCCAGAAAGAATGGCTATCATCAATAAATCAACCAATAACAAATTCTGGAGGGGCTGTGTAGAAAAAGAAATCCTCTTACACTGTTGGTGGGAGTTTAGGCTCGGTATAACCACTGTGGAAATCAGTTTGGAGATTCCTCCAAAAACTAAGATTAGAGTTCTCATTCAATTCAGCTATGCCCCCTTCTGAGTATTTTCCCAGAAGAATTGAAAATATCATACTACAGTGATATGTGTGCACCCATATTTATAGCAGTACAAGTGCCCATCAACTGAGGAATAGATAAAAAAATTTCATCTTTGTATACAATGGAGTATTATTGAGCCATAAAGGAGGATAAATTTGAGACAATTATAGGTAAATGAATGCAACTTGAGACCATACTCATGAGTGAAATAAATCAGACTCGCATGTGTGAGCATTGTACTTTCTCCATGGTGTGGGAAACTGTAATAGTCAATAAGGACCAAAATGTACAATAGAAACTGTGAAATGTGAAGAATTTGTTCAAAAGGAAAGAGGAGCCAGGGAGGAGCAAGGAGAAAAGGAAGGAAGGGAAAGAGGGAAAAAAAGCACAAGATAGTTATACTACTAGTTTCTCTTAGTTCATGGAAAGGAAAGATTTGTGCTAATATCACTTGGAAAATTTTTTATGTCCATATCCTGTACTCCATGCAACTACTTTGAAGATAGCAATACACAATGTATTAACTATTGTTATTCTCCTATTACTTTGTTATGAAACTTTGTTTTATATTTTGCATAAAATACAAAAGGAAAGTAAGAGATGAAGAAGTGCTCTGAAGAGAAGTGAAGATCTGTCCTGCACAGACAATGACCACTGCAAGAACAACACTGCAGTGGTAGTGAAGTCAATGGTCACTGAACTTTGTATCTTCTTTTGATGTAAAATCTGGGTTTTCTGAAAATGACGTGTGCATAAGTCCCACTGTGACTTGACAGTTTTCCATGACTGTCAGGTCACATCCTATTTCCAGCCTCCTTGCCATGCCCTAATCTCATGGCTCACAACAAGTGTGAAAAATGGAAAATATAGGAATTATTTGTGCTGGTAATGTATATATGCAAATTGTTAAAAATTAGAAGTAACTTTTGCTATGTATTCTAAAAATCATACAAACATTGCTATCTTTTGATTCTATAATACTGTAATCACTCAAGGGAATTTTTCTTGAAAATTACCTGGAAGAATGGAAAAAATAAATAGAAATAGAAATATGATCGTCAATGCTTACTAAAGAAATCGATTTAATGCACAATATACGAATATATGAGAATTTATAACATTGGCTTACAATGGCTGGCAACAGAGTCTGGTATGGAAGAGTGCAGAAGGTCTATCCATGCACTGGAGATCTGAAGGATCCAGTTGAAAAGGAGCTCACTGTAGTTTCCTGTGCAAGTCTGTATCTGGAGGCCTTTTGACTGACCGGTACTACTGAGCGGAAATTAAAATATTTTTATTAGGATTCTGTAACAACGTGTAATAAATATTAAGTGAAAGTAATGGTCAAATAAGCTAGTGGTGCAAAAAAATAGCAGAGAATATTGAAAAAGAAAAAAGCTTTTGAGCAGAAATACTGAGTGCTGTATCTAATTTTTTATTATAAACTGCATATGTCTAATTTTTCCCTACATTTTTGTTTCTTATTTGAAGTAAAAGTAGTAGAGGCAAGCATTGTTCAGGTCTTTACTAGGATCTAATAATAATTCATGATATTTAAATGTTACTTTTTTAGCTAAACTTGAATTGTAATTTATTTTTAAAATATTCTTAGATTATAAATGTGCTGTGAAATAATGTTCAGTAAAATAGTTGGTCAGGAATATCAACTCAGTTCAAGTTTGACAGAATGTTTAACCAAACCAGTTAAGAAACTAAGGTCTGGCACAGGTTCAGGTAATAAACCTAGAATCAGAATTAAAAAGCAATAAACCCAGAAGCAGAATTGCTCTAATTAGAATCATCTTGTAGTTCTTAGTGAAGACAAAGTAAAACCAATACCAAAAGACTCTTCCTCCTTTGCAATGTTACCGATACGATAGTGTGTAGAAATCGCTGCAACAATTTCATTAGATGTAAGATCAGACTGACATTTCTTTCTTAAAAGCCAAAGTCAATTAAAGTAAGGTCAAAAGCCAAGGACTCAGAATGCTATAAGCAGAGTGCTTATAAAAGTTTGCATGGAGTTACGTTTTAGTGGGGTAGAGACTAGACTGATTCATACATTTATTTGACTTGCCTGAATCCCAGAGGCATTTGAACTAATGGTTCCAGTAGTAGGTACGAAGTTTTAAATCCCAAACCAGTGGGGAAATGACTTTGATCTGAAGTTTTGTGAACAGACCTCCACAGGGGCCCTCCAAATGACTGATAGCTCCATCTTTCCTACAAGGTTCAGAGTGATGGGAAGTGAGTTTGATCTCTCCCATGCCTGTTTTTCCAAGGTTGGGGGGATTGGATTCCCTTGCCCCTGTCCTTTCTTCCTTTGCCCAGGGAGTTCACAGATGTTGCAGCTCTAGCCCTGGGGTCAAATCATCAGTGCAAGGTTGGACTCAGTAAGTTTTTTGTTTGTTTGTTTGTTTTTTGAAGAAGAGAAAGCAAAGCACAGAGAGAACTCGTCCTCTCTCTGTGCTTCCCACAGCAATCCTAACTGACCATTAGACCATACTATTTGAGTACAATGGTGTTGGCATTACTGATAGTATGGGGAGAGTCTTCGAATCCTGCTCAAAAGAAAAAACAATAATTCAGAACACATTGCAATCAGATGTACATTATGAATAATACCTTCTATCTGAGAATCTCAAAAGTTTCTAGAAATTAGCTAGTTAACCTGTAATGAATGATATAACTTTAATTTTAGAGCTGTAGACTATATATAAACTCCACAGAGAGAATTTCAAAGTGTGAAAAAATAACAATTAAAACAAATACAATATACTTTCTTTTCAGGGTTTTAGAATATGAAGGAGGAAATGCTGCATTTAACAGATAATGACATTCATGTGACACAATCTATAAAAAAGCCTATTTTCCTTCTCTTGCCTTTTTCTACAATTCGATTCAAATAATACGTATGTAAACTATGTGTAAGAGTACGTGTTATTCAGGCATCTTTAACTTTTGGTGACACCTACTGTACAGAGGGGAAAATGCAATTAAATCATTCTCAGGAAGAATAGTTGAGTGCCCAGAGAGTATCTAGATGTTATTTCATTTTATTTTTGTATTTAGAATGCTATAACTTCTCTGATACTTCTTTTGAATATAAGAAACATTTATTTTTAAAAAGAGAAGATATTTAAGTAATTATTATACATATTGCATCATAAAATAATAGCCCAGACTGGCAAATCCTAACAATTTTCCACTAACTAGCTTAAAAATGGCATTTAAATTTAATGATTTGCTAAAATTGTTGTCAAGTATTACCAGAAAATCAAAGTGGATGTTTAAGCACACTTTCTTGTCTTTAAAGTTAACCATTTTTGAGGTCTGATTAAAATGGTACTCTAATGTTAATGTTTGTAATAGAATTTCAATGGACAGCAAAACTTCCAATAAGCTGACTTTCTATTCTGCAGAAAAACATAGGTACAGTTATCTGGCATACACCAAGAAATAAACATGATTTCTACACATTCCATTTATACTCCTCCTGAATCCTTTGACTGTTCCACAGCTAGTGGCTTGTAAAGTATGTAAACATTTCACTTCATAGTTCCTAGTTATGACTGGGAAAAGTTTTCAGAGGCGTTTGTAACTCAACAGCAAAGTAAATAAATTTTATTGAGTTTTTATCATGTGCAGACATTGTGCTAGATCCTTTTATCAATATCACATATGATGAAATGATCTTGCTCCCAAAGAAAAGCTCCAAAGACAAGACTCCCATGGTCCAGAGCCAGCCTGGTCTCACCCACCCCTAGTTAAAATGAAAAGAGACTTTTCCCATTGAGTGTGATTTTCCCAGTTCTTATAAAAATAAAACAGAACAACTTTCATCTTTTAATCTATCCACTGTAAGCATTTCAGTTTACATTAGTAAAAAAAAAAAAACAAAACACTATAATTGAAGAAAACAAAACCAGACTCTTGTGGGGTATTATGTGAACAGGGTTAAGTTATTCAGCAGGGGGCTGGGGATTTAGCTCAGCGGCACAGCGCCTGCCTGGCAAGCGCAACGTCGTGAGTTCAATTCCCAGTACCGGAAAAAAACCAAAAAAAAGAAAAAAAAAAAAGTTATTCAGCAATTCCTCCCCCATGGTTGTCTCCTTCCCAGTTCTCAGTTGTCCTTTTTTTAGATTAATGACTCTGAAATTTAATAATCTGCTTGCAAAAATAATAATTCCTATGAATTAAAGTTATTTTATAATGACCTGAATTAATATGTATTTAATTTAATATTTTTGCAATCATAATTGTAATTACTCTGTGAACATTTATCAGCAAAATTGTTTTGCCCTTTGAATAATACAATATATGGTATTTCTAAGGGTTTACCACTCAGAGAAATGATACGTTAAGAGTTCCAATCAAAATAGGATGCTTGGCCTTGCGCCCAGGCAGCGAGTTCTCCTGGAGCGGCAGGGCTCCTGGGTCCGAGTGTGGGCCGGACTCATACCACCACGATTCCCAGCCGAAAAGCGGGCACAGAGC